AAAAAAAAAACGGTAACCTGGTTGCCGAGTTCACGAAGTGAATTGGCTTGTTTTACAACGTCGTTGCCAAGCGACGAAAACCCAATCCCGATGGCCAACACCGAGGGGGGGCTTGTTTGACAACGTCGTTGCCAAGCGGCGAAAACCCAATCCCGATGGTAAACACCGAGGGGGTTGACTTTTTTTTCAACGTCGTTGCCAAGCGACGAAAACCCAACCCCGACGGCAAACACCGGGGGGGGGGCTTGTTTTACAAAGTCGTTGCCAAGCGACGCAAACCCGACCCCGACGGCAAACACCGGGGGGGGGGAGCAGGTCTTGGGGGGGCTACTAATGTTTTGTACTCATTAGCTGTTAGGCCACTGACCACGCACGGCACGCGTCCTCGAGAGGATTGAGCACTATTTTGCATGCCCTTAGCTGTTGGACCATTGACAACGCGACGGCGCATTGGTTCGCGAGTGGGGGCAATTTCTGCAAGGTGCATTGATGCGCAAACCTTAGGCAGGGCTTCAGTTTTGTTGGAGGAGTTCTCAGACCTATTCGATTTTGACCCCAGGTTCGGTGCCCCAGAAATTGACCCCAGTTAGGCCGCATTTCCGTTTTTACTTGGTTTTAGAGTTGTCGATCTCCGGTTTCTTCTCTAGAAAGCACGTTGTTTTCTTCGATCGGTGTTCTCGAGATTTCAACGACAGATTTTCGATTGGGTTCGAAGACGCATGCACATGTGGGTCCGGTTTGGGTCGTACCTACTGTATCGAAGAAAGAAAATCCTGATGGATCGTTAGTCGACTTCATTTACTCAAAAGTCCACGAAGATTTCAAGATTTTCCTGAAACTCTGGCGGCCTCCGAGACACATGGTTCACGATTATTTAATAAATCCCGACGCTATCCTTTTCTCGAAGAGTCATAGAATGTAGAACCCTTGGTGTGCAGTTTCAGTACCCACGGAAGGCCCACGTCCGCGAGCCTTGTGCAGATACACGTACTCGGGTGCATACATGCAAGGAATACCCCGGGAGACGGTATTCTGGGCACGATCCTGGAGATGCTGATTCGGTGGTGGAGAAAGCACCGAGCAAACCGTGCATCGGCTCTGGTTCACGCCCTCGAGATAGAGAATAGCGGAGAAAGCGCCAAGCGGACCGTGAGTCCTCCCTGGCTTACGCTCTTGAGGTATTGTGCATGTTCCGTGGCCACTGCTGCTTCTGCTCTCGATACCTCGAGAGCGAGAACCAGGGCGGACTCACAGTCCGCTTGGTGCTTTCTTTGGAAGATCCGTCCGTGGAGAAGAACTCACTTGTGGTATGGAACAGCAGCGCGGTAGCTGTTGCCTTGGGCAAGATAGAGGACTGACAATAATGGGGGGCGGATCCTCTGCATCAAGCAGGGGCTATACTACATGGATCCTGCCTCCTGTTTTTTCCTTCTGCGGGGAGTTACATCTCCCCGCACCTTCTAGAAGGAATTATTTTCGACCTCTATGTTCCGCCCACACTACATAAAATCCTGCAACACTGGCCCATCCTGGAGGTTCTCGTTCACAGATACAATAAAACCTCGGAGCTTGACAAGCAATAATGATTTGTCCAATCCCAAAATAAATTTGAGTATCGAAGATGGATGTGGAGCTCCAAAACATTACAACTCACTCACCCTCTCCCACACCTGCTCTCACTCGATGTGAGTCGCAACAGGGCCATCGATTGACCTCTAACTGGGCGACAAATACCATGACAGGTCAGTCCCCAAAAGAAGGGGAAAAGAGAACACGAAGAAAATTGAGAAAGAAGCGTCGCGACGATAGATAGGGAAATAAATTCCGAACGACGATAGATAGGGAAATAAATTCCGTCGGAGTGACAAACAGAAAGAAAGGACTGTATCGACAAAAAGACAAAAAGAGAAGCGCCAAAAAATCACCACGGTAGCGTGGGAGCGACGACAAAAAAAGGGCTGTAGTAAAAAACATGCACAGTCCGCAAACGGCAAAGACATAGACTAGAGACGATAAGAAAACGAAAACAAATCCATGCTAAAAGCAACCATTTATATGTCGCACGCTATCGGCGATTCATTTGGTGATGTGGATCAGGCAAACCTGTCCAGTACCGGACATACCGGACAAATGTGCGGCTTGGGGTACTGCTGTAGATCCATCTCACGCTCCCACGAAGGGCGAAGACCTTTTATCCGATGCGTCTGGTTTAAGACAGCCATAGTGCCATCACGACCACGAACGGGCTGGTGCCCGCTAAAATCAACCGCCTCAAGACGTTCGACCGGAGTCGACACGTCGTTTTCCGTAGGGAGGAGATTTTTTCATATACTGCTGTAACAATTGAGCACGTACGGGGTCAGACCGCCAGGCAGAAGCCGTTGCAAGTCATCGGTATCATGCGGATGAGCGCAAGGCTTGCAACGCACAGCCCACACACACGAAGTTTGTTTCGAGTCTTGGCCCGGGAGATCCGACGGGAGAGATCCAAGTAGAGCAACTTGGAAGCCAAATAGGACCTCCGTCAGGGGCGTCAGAACACGGGCCCACAGCAGAAATTTTGAACGGGCAAGTCCAGAGCAAAGGCAACGTAGCTTTTTGAACTTTGTCATCCGTGCCAGAACGAACACCTTGGCGTCTGCCGGCAACGCCAAGTGTACGGGTATGGACGTGTGGTGCGATCTGGAAGACCCGTGGAGAACAAATTACTTGTTACTCGCGCGGAACAGCAGTGGTAGCTGTTGCCTTGGGTAAGATGGAGGGCTGACATCAGTGAGTGGTGGACGGATTCTCAAGCAAGGCTACTAGATCCTTCTGCCCCCTGTATAATCCCTCCGCGGGGAGTTACATCTCCCCGCACCTTCTCGGAGGAAAGTTTTCTTCTTTATTCCGCGTACCATAAATATATATCCAATAACACCTGTGGGTTATGTTACGTACATGGAGACTGCTACCACCTGTTTGTGTGACCGCGATATGGAGCTAACCCGACTATTGTATGTAGAACAGCACAAGCTGTTTTGGCATACTTTGATTCGTCCTGGGTCTTGCTCTCCCTATTAGCTGAGCGATGTTGGTAAAAATCCGGCCCTTTGTATCCAGCTCGGGCAAGGCCTGGCCGAACATTTTGTGTTGTCTAGTCTCCCACTCTCAGCCTGCAGCACACGCTCCACACTACGTGCGTGACTTATCGTTATCGTTGCCAACTTTGCCACAATCATTTAGTTCCATCACCGCTGCCCATGGCAATTTCTTTCGGGGTATTTTTCCCGCAGTGAATCGGATTTATGTGCATGTGTTTCTGTCTCCACCCGATCGTCGTCTTACCATCCGTTGCCCCCCAATCCGCTTCCAACAAAACAATTGCAGGTGTCAGGCGAACGTCGGGTGGGTACCATCATCAGGGATTCGAACCCAAGCATCTGCCATTTTTTCTTTTCCACACTTCATTGGCTTTACACGCTGTGAACATGATTTGTCAAGTCTAACCTGGTAAACACTGATGATATTGTGGGGCGAGCGTTTATTTTCTCTCTCATATCTGCTTCCACATACTCCACATTATAGTGCGCATGCGAGAGCACTTATATTTCGGGCGTGACACGTTCTCGGGCGCTCTCTGTTGAGACGACCCTTCATTTCGTGAGCCCGTTGGCAAAAACGAAAACGGCTTCAGTTGAGGCCGGGGCTTCCCCCGGGCTATTTTCACACATACCCTGGCACGTCCTTGGCTTTCGTTACGGGGGACGGCACGCGGGACATACTGTACATCCTTTTGATGCCTGAAGTGTGTCCAGACCACTCAATCAAGTGGGAATGACTTGGAAATGCTAGAGTGTACTTCGAAGAAGCATGCGGAAAGGCCGCGGGTCATGGTGCACCCCTTTACACGGACCTACGAAAGGCTCGATCGCTCAAGTACGAGGCGCCGGCATGGTAGAGGCAAACTCTTTCGCAAGACACTTCCAACTCCAACCTTTTCGGACGGTGTTGCCCTGTTGGAAGTTGGCACTAATCGAGCCCAAGCAAGGCTGTCAACGGGGACGGCGATGACCCGCAAACTATGATATTTATGAAGTCGCCCGTCTGGTCGCCCACTAGCACGGCGCTGACCACTAATGACGTGATTTTTTGTCTTCTTGGGATCCATGCCGTTGTCATTATTCGAGACGATTCCGTTGTCATC